ATTTTTTTTTTTTTGCAGAATCTACTTTGAGTGTATGTACACAATATTGAACAACAAAAAATTATATTCATATCCAACACAATCTAATTAATTCCAATATCAAATCCAATTATATTCAAATAATACATTCACCAAAATAGTAGAGAGATACATAAATTATTTACAAACGTTTACATAAATTATTTACAATGGCTATGACACTTCTAGGAAAGAATGTAATTCATCGATACATGATTAATAATCTATTTGAGTTCCTTTCTGTTCTTCCAGATTTGCTTTATGTTCTTCCAGATTTGCTTGACACCATCCAACTCCTTCCAGAATGCCTCATAATAGCCAGGAATGCTGCAAAATGAAGAACGGTTATGCATAAGGCAAGGAGTGAATGAATTGCAGTTAGGTAATGTACACAAAACAAAGATGAAATATTAAGAGTCTTTATGCAGTTAGGTAATTGTTGTTGACTGTATGGAACTTGCAGTTCACCGAAGCTGTATGGAACTTATAAATTATTATATTTCCCACACTATTGTGCATCTCTTCTCTGTTCCATAGCTGTAATCTCTGTTCCATAAAAGTTATATGGATACTTCAACCATTTGCTTTTCCATAAAAAATTGTACTCTTCCACGTCAAAATTTTTTTAAAAAAAATTGTCTTTAAGACAAAAAGTTTTTACATATGTTTCTCTTCAAATGCATTGCATGATTGCATCCATTAACATTCCATTTTGCATATATAACTCCTCTAAAAATGTGATTTTTTTTACATGTACAACTTTGCGGAATGCTGAATGAGGATTGTTCTAAGAAACTCCTTCCATATTCAAACATCTACTAAAGCTTTTTTTTTAACTGCTTAAAGAACAAAACAGATATAGAGTTCAGAATATACTTGGTGTGTAATAAATTGTGCAAGTAGGCTGGTACAGAGCAATACAGTGGTGTAATGGGTGCATGAATCATATGGTCGACAAGTATTTTGACCTGAAGTTCGGACAGCTGATCAACATATTCTTGAGCAAGAATATCCACCCTTGTAGAAAACTGTTGCCCTATTTTGATAAATGTTGGGCCTAATCTCAAAATACTCTCCTTTAGCCACTTTGCAAGGGCTCTCCTTCTTACTACTTTTTTCTCCTCTGTCATTCCTCCTGCACATTTGCCAGTAACTCATCAAAAAGATGTGATTTAATATCACTCTCATTCAGACTGTAATTTGTTTAAGTTTATTAAATTTACAGGTGTACTCAAATAGTGAATTAACAAAACTCATGCAATGAAAGAACTAAGATTCTACGCTATTCAAACAACAACAGGGACCTAAGTCAATTCATATTGCATAATTCAATTGTAACAAACAGCTCCTTACTCTAAACCATAATGCGTGCCTGCGTAGTATCGCCTCATCACGGGATTTCAAGAACTGTTACGACACGGACTTATGAACCATAAATATGAATCGAACTTCAATTTTAACCAAGTTCTATCATGAGATCCAACCTTTGTTTTAATGGGTCAGGCATTTAAACCAGATTGTGCGGTGAACTCAAATAATTCATTATTTATCAAAGTTGTGATTTTGGGTCAGGCATTTCAACAAACACAAGATAAGCACAAACGCATGCCAGCGCAAATCAAACAACAACCAACGAAATGGGTTCAATCAAGATCAAGATCCAGACCTGGAAATGCCTGCCATCAAGGAGGAGGCGTGGGTCAGGGTTAGGGTTTCGGAGGAGGGGGAGAAGGGGATCGGGGAGAAGCTGGAGGGGTCGAGGGCGAAGGAGGAGGCGTGGGTCAGGGTTAGGGTTTCGGAGGAGGGGGAGAAGGGGATCGGGGAGAAGCTGGAGGGGTCGAGGGCGGAGGAGTGGAGGGCTGAGGTCGAGGAAGGAAAAGTAGAAGGGGGAGGAGAGGGTGAGGTCGCCGGAGAAGGGAGAGAAGAGGGTGAGGTCACCGGAGAAGGGAGAGGAGAGGGTGTAGAGGGCGGAGGAGTGGAGGGCAGAGGGGGAGGTGGAGGGGTCGAGGGCGGAGGAGTGGAGGGCTGAGGTCTGAGGGCTGAGGGGATCGGGGAGAAGGTGGAGGGCTGAGGGGCCGGAGAAGGAGAAGTAGAAGGGGGAGGATTTTGGGATCAAATTTTGGGCTGAGGGGATTTCGTTTTTGGGGGGAATTGGGTTTTTTAATCTCAGCCTAAACATCCTAGACGGAAATTTCCGTCTAGGATGTATCCTAGACGGAAATTTCCGTCTAGGATACCTAATTATATTTAAAAAAAATTAAAAATATAAGAACTGTCTAGAATACTATTCTAGACGGAAATTTTCGTCTAGAATAATTTATTCTAGACGGAATATTCTAGACGGAAATTTTCCGTCTAGTTTAATACAAACTAGACGGAAAATTTTCCGTCTAGAATATTCCGTCTAGGATATACGTTTTTTTACTAGTGTATCGAGTCCAAACACGAAGGTTACAAGTTTATGACTACCTCCTTACTGAATTCATCAGCCCCTTATAACAATAAAAAGATATTATAAAACCTAAAAAAGAATTCATGTAATCAGAAAATGAGAAATTTGTCGTAATAAGTGAAAGAACAATCTTATGAATATGAGAGAACTCTCTAAGTCCCCATGAATGGCAAAGATCACATTATTGTATGCGGGTGTTCTGGTTTAATTAATTTGTACTCTCAACGTACAAATTCTATTAAAATCATTCCTACAAGAATGGGGTGATTTGATAATTTGAATCATAAGTAGAACTATTAATCCTTCCCTACTATATGTTTGCCCGATCATGAATGACTCAAATCACTGTATTATTGCACGTGAAAGGCACGTGTAATAAACATTTAAACTTAATTATTATAAATTTTACGTAAAAAGGTTCACTTTAATACCTTACAGTTTCATCCTTTTTTTGTAAGATTGTTTATGATAGTCATTTTTTTTATATGTAATATGATAGTTGTTTTGTTTGATAGGTGATATTTTAATATTTTATCTTACCTTATTTGAAACAAGATAGGGGACATATTTCAATATGAGTAACCTAGCTATTTTCATAGTTAATATCATTAAGAAGAGTATTTTTCCTTCATATTTTACCCTAAGGTTATTGTATTAATCATTCTTACACTAATTATTTAGATGTATACTTTCGATGATATCTACATTGTGACTTATTGCACTTATTGATATCTTTTTCTTTAAAAAAGTTTCTTCTATTTTTATTTTTATGTCTCTTATGATATGCATTGTAATAGATATTTAATTAGTGAGTACCAATAATATGTTCATGTCATGTTATAGAAGATTGGGGGTTGGGGGGTAGAGAGAAAAAAACATTCCTATTAAATTACAATTTTATCCTCACAAAAATCTATACTACTATATAAAAAAACAAGTATGGGTAGTCAAAAATTGGGATGAGTGGGTGGACATGTCCTCATTTCCATTGTAATTCAAAGGGTAAAATGATAATTTTATAAAGAAGATTTTTCTCTTTCTTTTTCTTTACCTTATTTTTTCTTTCTTTAAGAATATTCTAAACTATTCAACGACTTGAAAATAATATTAGAAGCCACGTATCTATTACACTTCATTTCATAAATGATACAAAGTAAAAGTGTTGAGTTTTTTTTTCAGAAAAGGTAGATATACCTAAAATCAAAGGCAGTGCCATGGTCAAAGACTTCAGACCAATCAGTTTAATTAATTGCATCTTCAAAAAAAATTCTAAGATTGTTACAAACAGATTAGCTCCTCTTCTTCCTAATCTGGTATCTTCTACCCAAACAGCCTTTCAGTCAGGGAAATCAACACTTGATTCTATTGTGATGGCAAATGAGATGATTCACTTTTGTTCTAAAAGGAAGAAGGAAGTTGCTATGCTAAAGCTTGATTTTACTAAAGCTTTTGACTCCATCAACTGGAATTTTCTTCTTAGTTTGCTTAAAGCTAGAGGTTTTGGATGTAGGTCGTGCACATGGATATATCATATTATCTCTTCATCACAGTGTTCAGTCAAAGTTAATGGCCAGCCTTCAAAGTTCTTTTCTTGTAAGAGGAGTCTAAAGCAAGGAGATCCTTTATCTCCAATGCTTTTCAATTTAGCAGTTGATGTTTTAAACAAAATGATTCATAACAACGTTAGTGATGGAATCTTGTCCAATCTAGATATAAAGTCTCCTCTAAACCAGCTGAGAATATTACAATTTGCAGATGATACGCTCCTCTTCGTCAAGAGTTCTTTCAAAGACATTTCTGTGTTGAAAACTATCCTTTATTTCTTTGAGGAGGTCTCAGGTCTGGCCATAAACTATTCCAAATCTTCAATTGTTTAATTTGGTAAATTTCCTATGAAAAAACAAATTCTTTCAAATTCTCTTGGTTACAAAGTGGACTCTCTGCCTATTAAATATCTAGGCATGCCTCTAAAATATGGTAAGCTGACAAAATCTGAATGGCAACTTATCTTTGATAATCTCCACAAAAAACTTGCATCTTGGAAGAGAAATTTCCTATCCTATAGAGGGAAATTAGTTCTTTTAAACTCAGTGCTTACTTCAATCCCGTTATACTTCATGTCATTCTACAGATTACCAAACTGGGTCATTAAAAGCATTGATAAAATTAGGAAAGGCTTTCTATGGACAGGAACTGATAAAGCAAGTGGCTTGAAGAGTTTAGTCAAATGGAGAAAAGTCTGTCTTAGCAAATTAGAGGGAGGATTAGGAGTCAAGGATATCCATCAATTTAATATTGCCTTGCTATCAAAGTGCCTTTGGAAGTGTCTTGATCTCAATTCAAACACTGGTAACTTTCTTCGTCAACTTTATTGTATCAGAGGTCAATCTCTTCAAATGACGGTTGCAGGAACATCAAAATCATCCTTCTGGAATGCAATTTTATCTTTTAAGAATGAGTTCCTCCATAATATCTCTTGGTCTCTGGGATTAGGTGATACAATTAGATTTTGGGAGGACAAATGGACATGTTTTAACTCCTTAGCCAGCCTTTACCCTTCTTTATATAAGCTAGCCTTGTCTCCTAATATGTTACTATTTGCAGTCAAGGTTTTCTAAGAAATTCCACTTGGCATTGGAGACCTTTGTTGAGGAGATGCATCTCATCCTCTTCCCAAATTGACAAAGCCAATCTCATGAATTTATTACGGATGTTTCAAATTTCTACAATACCAGATAATCCTAGATGGTTGCTTACAAGTGCTGGTAATTTCACAGTTAAGTCCTTCTATCAGTTCCTCAACCAGAGAGGTCTTCTATCACCTCATTTTAAAGTTATTTGGAAAAATGCAACTACATCCAGAATCAGTTTCTTTATCTGGCTTTTATACAGTAATAAACTTCACACAAAAGATAATCTCTTAGCTAAGGGATGGATAGGAGATCCAATGTGTTTCTTTTGTGGCTCACAAACGGAATCCAAGGACCATTTGTTTTTCTCATGCTTAATAACCTCCCAAGTCTGGACACATTTCAAAAACTATTACCTTCCTTTCATATGGCCAACAACTTTTGAAGATTTATTACAACTTGCGAGTAAACTTCAAGGAAGTGCTGGTTATATTTGGCGTAGCTTTATCTCCTATTGTTTGCGTCGAAAATTGATGTATTCATTGCGGTATTCATTACAACTTCGGTCGTTACAATGAAAACAAAAAGATAATCTTTTTATAAGATCTTTACACAATGAAAACAAAAGTTACAACTCTCGTCAAAACAAACGCAGAGATCGTTTATCACCCGCTGCTTTGCGTGGGTTCTTTGCCTGTGCCGGGGTTTATCCGTGGACCGCCTTAGATCTGGATCCGGTTGATGAAAAATTCGGCAGAGTTTCGTCTTCGCCGAGGAAGTATTTGATTTGAAGCGCTGAGATCGACCAAGCGAAATCAGGGCTCTTCTCGAGATTAAGACCAAGCCTAATCTCAAGGGACGGACGGGAACGGGCGTCGGATCTCTCGAACTCTCCTTCTTTATGCCGAAGAACTCGCCAAGATCTGTCAACCCTCGCTAAAATTCGTGCTCCTTTGACTCCACAATCCGGCAGCACCTCCTCGTCTTGATAATCAATCGCCCCCGCTGAAAGGAGGCCCTAGGTTTGTATTTATAGGGCTTCAGAAGCGGTTATTTGGATGAGAACAAGTGATTTGGCTCTATCTTCAGTTAACAACAGCCTAACCACGTTTGGGGATGATATCAGGTCAGTTAGAAACCCCTGGAACCAACAAATCTCGAGAAAAAACCATCCAAAACCGAACCGGGACGAAACAGTGCGCGCAGGACAAGTCTGACCCGCGCTTGCGCGGGTCGGATGGATCCGACCCGCGCTTGCGCGGGTCGGATGGAACCGACCCGCGCCGCCGCGGGTCGGTTG